CATGCGCGGGTTACTGAAGGACATGAATAAGTCACCGAGGGACACACGAGTGGGTCACTGAGGGACATGAGTAAGTCACCGAGGGACACACGAGTGGGTCACTGAGGGACATGAGTAAGTCACCGAGGGACACACGAGTGGGTCAGAAATTATCCCATTGCATTCAGGCGGGAGAAGCGTCCTTGATAAGCACATACACATCAGCATGGGCTCCAGACACCACTGAGTACACAAACACTACTATTAATAAGCCAAATGTGTTGACGGTAGAGTTTAGAGTCGTCTTACACATATGCACACATCACAAAACCCACCAATGACCTACACAATAAAACCATTGACCTACATCACAATACCCAGCACTGACCTACATGACAATACCCAGCACTGACCTATATCACAATACCCATCATTGACCAACAAGACAATACCCATCATTGACCTACATCACAATAGTGAGCATTGACCTACATCACAGTACCGAGCATTGACCTACATCACTGTACCGAGCATTGACCTACATCACAATTCCCGCCACTGACCTACACCTCATTGTCCGGCGTTGACCGACATCACAATACAGAGAATTGACCTACATCACTATACCCACCGTTGACCTACACAATAAAACTACTGACCTACATCACAATACCTAGCACTGACATACACCACATTAACCACCAAAGACCTGCACCATAATTCCCAACACTAACCTACACCACAATCCCCAATCAGGGACCTGTCAGTACTCAACAGCGTTTAGACCAGCCCCATGTGATGTAAGAAGATCATTGCCTGTCGCCCCACCACCCACTACACCATACTCATTCCTTCACGTGCACACAACACCAGAGCTACACACAGTGTGCAGCCACTGTGGGAAATGCGTGTTGGCACTGGTGAACTTTAACCTCTCCTAATGAAACCAGGGTGTGCATGCTAAACAAAATAAAAAAAAGAAGACGGTATATTGAACGGAAAACTAGACGTGTCCTGTTCCTTGTCCCCAATCAAGTTGACTCTGTATGTCCCCAATGACCAGGACTGTAACTGTACGTGGGAACGATGACCGTAGGTGCCGGACAAACATACAATAGACGACGACGACGACGACGGGTGGGGGCGTCGACTTTGGCATTTATTTAACGACGGTTTATGCGAATGCAGAGAAGACATAACCTGGGAACCCAGCCGGTCAAGGTCAAGAGTGCACCGGGTGATCACTAAGGTACAGTGTGCCCAGCCGGTCAAGAGTGCACCGGGTGATCACTAAGGTACAGTGTGCCCAGCCGGTCAAGAGTGCACCGGGTGATCACTAAGGTACAGTGTGCCCAGCCGGTCAAGAGTGCACCGGGTGATCACTAAGGTACAGTAGGTACAGTGTGCCCAGCCGATCAAGAGTGCACCGGGTGATCACTAAGGTACAGTGTGCCCAGCCGGTCAAGAGTGCACCGGGTGATCACTAAGGTACAGTGTGCCCAGCCGGTCAAGGTCAAGAGTGCACCGGGTGATCACTAAGGGACAGTGTGCCCAGCCGGTCAAGGTCAAGAGTGCACCGGGTGATCACTAAGGGACAGTGTACCCAGCCGGTCAAGGTCAAGAGTGCACCGGGTGATCACTAAGGTACAGTGTGGGGGAAAAGGTATCGCGAATGAGAGTAATGCGTTTTGTAGTTTGCAGGTACACGTGAAATGTCCATGCAGACCCCGGGTTGTGTTAGTTTAAGAATATTGATAGACAGCCCCACAAACTTGAGAGATGTTAAATAAGCGGGTAGAGACGTGGAATCGGCGTCCAGGGTAGAGGATCTGGTCGGGAGAATGTAGTCTATAGTAATGTAGCAAGTCTCTAGTAATGTAGTAAGTAATGTAGTTTATAGTATCGCGAGGGCTAGCTATAAGCTAGAGGTTTGGGGACACTGGAGATCAGTTAAGACGACAGTTGACTAGTTGGACAGAGGAATGGTTGATACGCTATAGTTAGCGATACAGTTAGAGAAGATTAACAGATGAGCTGTGGTTTGTGATGAACAGCCTTGGTTTTTTTTTTAGTAATAAATATACAGACTGTTTTATTATATGGACACCTCGAGTTTGTTATTTGGATCAACTCACGTCAACGTGGTGTTTTGGTCCGTCTCAATGTTGTGCTTTTGTCCATCTTAATGTTGTGCTTTTGTCCGTCTCAATGTTGTGCTTTTGTCCGTCTCAATATTGTGCTTTTTCCCATCTCAACATTGTGCTTTTGCCCATCTCAATATTGTGCTTTTGCCCATCTCAATGTTGTGCTTTTGTCCGCCTTGTATAGCGTTACTCAATGCCACAATAGTAGACTACATTTTTATAGTGTTTCTCGGCAATAAGGCAGTATACCACAATGATATAGTGATAGGACCGCATAATTAACCATTAAAAAGAAGATGATAACACTTTTTCATCACATATTGTTTGTGATAAAAATGGCCAGTAGGAGTCTATACATTGTTCCTAGTTTTTTTGTTCATGAGTAACTTCTGCTAACTGCTTACTTCTGTTTTCATATTCAAAACGTAACAAATTCACAAAAATCCATATAAAAAAAAATTGTTTAACCAAGACATTTTAAAATTATAACAATTTAAACACAAGACATCTTAAGTATTTTTCTAGTATAAAAATCTTATCTTATTGTGTATTGACAATAAGATTTTCTTTTAAAATTCTTATACAAGATAGGTACCACATTATTTTACAACACACTCAAATGGGTTGACATCTCCCCTACTTCCCCCAAAACCGGTTCCCTTTCCAACTAAACAGTTGGAGCCAAAATTAAGTGACTATTTGTTCATGTATCTATCCAATTACAAAGTGGTTAATTTGCTGTAATATGGAACAGTAATTGTGGAGTCAGTTGGAGTTTTAACATTAAAACAGTAGCTACAGCATTGTAAACATAATGTGAGGTATAACTCCTGTCCATTATGCAGCATTGTAATCATAATGTTAGGTTAACTGTTGTCTATTATGCAGCATTATAAACATAATGTGAGGTGTAACTGTTGTCTATTATGCAGCATTGTAAACATAATGTGAGGTGTAACTGCTGTTTATTATGCATCTCCATATTATTAATATAGTATTTGCCAAAACTTGTTAAAAGAGTCTTATATTGTATAGACAGCATTGAATTTGAAAGAGTTAAAAATTGTATGTTAATTATACATCTAGCACAAAAAGCTACAAACTTATTGATTGCACATTTTCTCATTAAGTCACTTTTACATATGAGGATTAGCCTCATATGATTAGCTTATTTAAATTATTTTTTTAAAAACTTTTTGCCTTGTCAAGTGGTCAAAACATAATTAACATAGACTACTGGGATTAAAGTGAGTCACACTTGTTTAATATACAATTACAATCAATTGGATTTAAAAGACCCACATTTTAATTTCTTGAGTTATCAGTTGATAATCTCATTCACGTCTCAATACAAAATTATACTTAGACTGCATTCATGACATTATTCAAGAACTAATTTTTTTTTAAAATTGACAATAACTGTGCAAAATAAAAATTATGTCCTTGCTCAACACTAAGTGTCAACCGATAGAAGATAGTTCTAGTCTAGTGAGTAATTCAAAAATAAGTCTTATTATTAGCATTACTAACCAAAAGGCTACTGACTGTAGCCATTTTTACTCTTACATCTTAGAATTCATTTAGACCTTCCTACTGACTACGGAGTCAACTTTAATACTAAATGAAATGTGTTTACTTAACTATTTTTTTATTTTTAATTAAAATATTATCACAACAAATTAACAAATAGCATATAGGTATATTGTTGGCTTAATACTTAAGTGTCTAGTAAAATAGTCTTAGCAGCATATGGTGTACTCATTTAAATCAAATTTAAGTCAAGGTTCAAAGGTTACTCAAAGTTACTGATGAGGTGTCGGAGTCCCCTCATCAATCAAGACTGCCCTTGTGCCTAACTAACTCTCAGATATTATAAATTATAGGCTGAGGGCCAGGCATATTATAGATGATAGAATGTTATATTAAATAATTTGTATTGACATTTGAAATGTTTTATCTATTATAAAAATAGTATTTATGTCTAAGCTATTGAGCCTATTGTCTAGGCCTAGATCAATTAATATGTAGGCCTAAAGTCTAAAGTAAAGTAAAGTAGGTCTAGCTATCTTACTAATTAATTAATAAATTATTATGTTATGACTATAGACTATAGACGTCAACAAACTACTGACCAACTCAACATTGTCAACAATTCAATACTGACGAGGTCAGATAGGGCTATGCTCACTGCGCCTATATTAACTATATAATTTATATATATTAAAAAAAACTAAATTTAGAAAAAAATAGATTTAGGACTATTTTACTTTTACTAATTTGAGTTAACTTTTTTAAAATTTTATCTACTGAGCCTACCGGACCGTCTACTCGTTATTTCTCACTAACGGACTGTCCGTGACCAACAATGATCAACTACTAGCTGCTTAGTAGGGTTAAAAGTATGTTTGTTATGCCTAAATTTAAAACTATAATTATAAGTAAAAGATTAAATAATGAATTAAAGACAAGCATAAAAACTACGGTAAAAATGAAGTTTAGAAAAAGATAAATAATAAAATAATTAATTATTTAAATTTAATCAATCAAAAACAATCGTCTCTCATTTTAATTTAAAAGTAGTTTGGCCAATTGTCTATAGCATTTCACTTACCTACGCAGCTCAAATCGTTCTCAGACTCTCCTTTTCCGTCCTCCATTGTAATTCCAGACAGGTGGACCGAATGTTAATAAATTCAAAACAGTATGAATTGCGTGAGGTCGAAGACTACTGTCTCTTAACCGGCTCGATATCCCTCTTTAGTCTGGAAACAAGAAATGTACAATTTAATAATTAGTTTCCCCTCCCCCTCTCCCGCCTTTTTTTTTCCCCGTTTATTGACCTAAAGGGGGACAATGCCTAGTAAATTTAGCAACTGTTACAAAATGGCTGCTGATGCCAGCGGTGTTGAGACTGTTCAAGTTCCGTTTGTGAAAAAATGTGAATTCAACTACCTCGATTACTTTTCGCGCTCTAACTACCTCAATAAACAGATTGTAACACAAGAGAAATCTCTCATTAAGTATATGGGTAATAGATGGGATGACTTACCACCAGCACAACAAGATGCATTGATTGATCTGTTATTTGTGGAAGACAATATCCGAAACAAGTTTTCAGCTTCGACAAATAGGAAAACTGTCTCTGTACACGATTTGACAGTAGGTCAGAAAGGAGACGAAGATTCTAAGCTAATACAGACGTCATTTCCTCGTTTATACATTAATTCGGGGCAGAAAATCAATGTAGATTTTGAAAATGATGTAAGTAATACTAATGGCCACTAATGATACTAATGACTAATGGTATGAGTATGTTAACTTAATGAAAGTTAATGCAAAGAAGAAATACCATGACCTATCACTCGGCCGCCATCTTTTAGGGCTAGGGGGTTCACGGGTCGCGGCAACTAATATGGCGGACTTGTAAAATTAACCTGACTTGCTTCTGCTAAAATTAGGAATAAAATGTTAAAATTTAATTTAAAAATGTTTGCCAGTACATAAATTTCGTGGTGAACATAGCTATTTTATTGTATCTGTCTAGATATTTGGCAAGAAGCGGTCACGACCTGTGGTCGCTCCTATTCCTCACGTAATTCAGCCAGTACACACACAAAATAATTCACTAAACCTAACCTTTAACCCTAAATGTATCCCTAAACCTAACCTTCACTCTAAATGTAATCCTAAAGCCCTAAACCTAACCTGAACCTAAATGTATCCCTAAACCTAACCTGAACCCTAAATCTAACCCAAATGCTAAAACTAGCCAGAAAGCCTCAAGTAAAAAAAAAAACGTGTGCAGCTGCAATTACACATTGTGGCAAGAAAAGTAAAAAAATGAAGAAAAACAACCAAACATAATTGTAAAATAAATAAATAATGAAAACCAAACTTACAGTTTCATAGAATGCACTTTTACACACTTTATTTCTGGTTCTACCGAAAAAAATATTTTTAAAAATGTCCGAAAATGAATAAAATACAATACCAAATATGGTGGAAAAATTAAAATATTATAATTACCCAACCAATGAAATTTTAAAATTATAATTAATCAACCCAAAAAATTGATTACAAAACATGTCATCGTTCGATTAAGTAAAATTTAACTCAGTAACAAAAAGCAAGGCGAGTGAATCCAAAACAGAAACTTAACAAATACATGCAAATGGCGTCATGGCATGTCTTCTTTGCATTAGCCATTTTTATTTATAATTTAATATGATAATACTAATACTTATCGGCGGCAATAGGCTGGTAGCCGGGCACTTTCTAACGAAAAGTATACTATTAAAAAAAAAGGTGTGTGGAAGCTTGCATTAAGAAACAGGACAATGAGACAAGAACATTTCAGCTAAGAGAAGTCATCAGCAGACAGGACAGATAAAAATGGGGCTAGAAATAGACCTTTCTGACCACCGATGATCAACAACAATTCCATACACAGCCTGACCACAAAACATAACACTCTCACAAAAATCAGTCATAATTGTCGGCCTAATTTAAATTCTATAAATATATTATAGTTTGTTTCAAATGTGTTCTGGAGTCATAAACCATATTTTACAAAAATAACTTTATTATTAGTACAGTACATATCTATTCACTCAATATTTTCAGCTTTGGACCTGGAGAGATGAACATTCTGGGCCTTTCTCTTGGATGTCTAGGGTAAGTACGATTTTTTAGCCCCCTTTTTTTTTCAGTTTAATAAGTCTAGAATGAAAAAGCAACATATTTATTTTCTGACACTGTTATTTTATAAGGATTTGTTGGTGTTCCTCAGAGCCAGCAAGATTTGACTTTGGCTGACTTGGAAACTGAGAATATCGCAAAGCCACAACCCAAATCTATTAAAACTGACTTGGAGGAAGAGAAACTGCAAAAGGCCCCTTTGGAGTTTGTAGACTTAAGTAACTCATGGAGTCGGGACATTATAGATGATTATAGAAGGAAAGAAAATGACATCATCTTAACACCTAGTGTGTCAGTACTGTTAGGGAATGTGAAAAATAGAAACTTTCTTGAAGAAATTAATCCAGCATTCAACCAAAGCTGTGATGACATTCCTATATCATCACAGCAAGCTCTTGAGACCAACTCCAAAAGCAGGAACGCCAACGCAATGGCTCCTCCTGAGAAAAAATCAGACAACAGAGAGTGTTCCACAAAGTACCCTTCCCCCAAGAAACTGTTTGGCAAAACTGGTTACAGGAAGTCAACAAGTGATACTGTTCATGGTCAAGATAAGTTGATTGGTGGAGAAGAGAAAGATAGTGTTAATGTATATAGCAATGATGTCATGGAGTCAGAGTGGTCATCGTTTGTTGGAGACAAGAAATCCAAGTCGGCTACATCCACTGTTGCCCCCGTGCCAATGACCATAGACCGGGGAGATGATGGACTCTTCAACTCTCCTTATCAAGGAGATAGTGTTTGCCTCATCCAGGCAAGTCCATCGTCTTTACAACCTACGCCACCAGCAGCATTGGTGTCACCAGTTCATAGTGAGTGGTCAGAAGAGAGTACACCGGACCATACCACCTGTCTTTTGAAAGGAATGCAGGTAGGGGATTTTTTTAGAAATCATAATGGTTAAAATGACTTGAAAGTACCATAAATGATATTTTTCTGATAATTATAAACCCTTTTCTTGACTTAGATTGATGTGTTCAGTGTTGGCATTGACATTTGGTTTGTTTTCGGGATGGCTTAGAGGTAGATTTCACATTAATGGTATAAAAAGTGTGGGTTTTGTTTTCCAAGAACAGCACACAAAAAAAGACAATAAAGATCAATTCAGCAGGAAATTGTTAATTTTTAGCCTTAAAATGTATTATACTCATTTTATAACCATCCAGATATATTATGATTTAGTCTCGTGAGAAGAAAATTCAATACGTTTTGATTTATTCAGTCCCCTCAGCACCATAGGCGACAACCAATGACACAGCTTGATATGACAAGTCCGGATGGAGGCAATGTCCCTGGACAAACTGGAAACTTAAAAGACGATAGAGCGTCACCTTTAGAATCGGATGAAATATTGCGAGTTGAGTTAGAAGGAGGGAATATAACAGTGACTACAGAATCTCAGGTAATTTTGGATTTACATGCTATCCTAACTGTTCCTAATGTGGCTAAAATGCTGTTCAATAATAGTATAATAATACTTGCTATTCTAACTGTTCTCAATGTGGCTGATATACTACATTGCCTCATACCCGGGAGGTAGAGGAGAAAATTGCCAGAAGATAGTGGTGCACATTGTCTGATCTAGGCGATAGTGTGGCACAGGGCCTCATATCAAGGAGATAGTGTATTTGAATTATTCTGGGATCAAATAGCCAAGTGAAATAAATTCAAGGCAGCTGATCTTAGAGTTATAACACCCCACCACCACCCCCCCCCCACTCCCCCCCCCTCCCCCCCCCCGAATAAGTCAAGTGCATGGCCATCTTGACACTTTTATTTGTCAAATAAATTCAAATCATTATTAAATTTTTCTTGGTGACCAGTGACAGCCACTCAGCTAATTAAACTGAAGTTTAAACTGAAGTTTAATATTTTAATTTCTTTTTTTTTTTTCTTTTTTTTTGAACTTTTGTATAAAAATATATAAAAATATCTAACAACATTGTCCTGGTTTCTTTCAGAAAAGAGACAGTGACATCCCTACAACTGGTTTTGATTTTTTGGACAACTGGTGATTTAAGTTTTCCTGGTCATCAACTTGATGATTTATTTTACCACACAGCTTTGGTATTCTGCTGCATCACTTTGGTATATTGTGAATTTGTTGTCAATGAGTTCCAGTCAGTTAATATGTTGCACGAAGAACTATTTGAATATTTTTTTACATTAATTAATCGACTTGTTTTATAAATTTTTATTGTACCAGTAACTTACAAACTATACAGAACTGTATTTATGCAATATGCAGACCTGCCAATTTTTGTCTACCGATTTTGTCCGAATTATACGGATTTTTTTACCCCTCGTTCCGACCTTCCGACAAAGCCCTTAAAATTCAGATTTTCCGAACATTATAATTTTTTACCCTTCATAACAATTCGAAAGCGACGAACAAAATGTGTTTAAATTGGATGCGACAGGAAGTGTTGCATTTGGTTTTACAAAGTGTCTACATGTCCGGCGGCCTGATGTATAAGTGAATAAGTTCTTGAGCTATTCATCCGGCTATTATATATTCGACCAAGTCACATAACTGCCGTAACAAAGTTGCTCAAGGTATTTGGCCGTCAACCTCGTTGCGTGACCCCTAACAGTCAATCAGAGTTTACAGTACGTCATTTCAACAAATTAAAGATAGTCTGGACATTTACACGAAAAAGAAATATTAGAGCCGTTGCTGGTATATATAATGAGCAAATGTTAAAAAGTGGCAAAGTTAAATAAAGCATGATATGCCCGCCGGATGAATATCTCCAGCACTATTTATCCGGTCGGCTGGCTTGTAGACATGTCATGTCTCTTTTCACAGCTTGAACCTAGCTCCACGTCCCAGCCTATCGCAGTGGACTTACTTCTCCTCTTTTCTTTCCCTCTTCCTTATTTAATCTCTCACCCAATTACTTTCTGTCACATTTCTTTTCCTGCCCTTTGGATACTACTTCTAAGCTAAATGTTATTTTTCAATTTTAATTTTATTCTGTTTTTTCCTGTTGTTTTGTTCGCTGACGAAGGCTTCCTGCCGACACGTTCGTTGTTTTGTTGCGTTCCTTTTTTTCAGGTTTAATCCTTCTTTGTTTTACTCATTTGATATTGTAGACACTGCCTTGTTTTTATGGAAGCAAACTGCAATCTCCAAATCATTCTTCAAATATCAATCATCAATTGATCTGATCGTGATTCATTCTTTTTACAATGCTAAAAAATAAGTCGGGCTTTTTTTTGTTGTTGTTAAAGCTTTTCTTAACTGGTTAACTACCATGAGCCGCTGGGAGCAGCTCGGCGTTCGTTCTGTTATGGCCACGAGCCGCTGGTGGCGCCAATGTTACCATCATAGTAAATCGAGTCAAATATTTATATTATTCCGTTCCCGTTTCACTTCGAGTTTTTAATTTACCGATTGGATGTTTATAATCGAAACGCATGCTATCGGCAGAATGTTTTAAAAAACGAAATAATTATTAGTTTTAATTAATTTTCCCAACTAGTTACAAGATAGTACATGTTTACCGCGGCAACAAGTGACAGGGTTACTAAGGCATATAAGAGATTGGAAGTGTAAATATTATTCAATTTCTGTGTTCTTTGGTTCATTTTTCTTATTATTGGATATACTATTTGTAAACCACAAAATAAAAGGCTTTAAATGATTTTGAAATTTAAATTGTATACGTGAGTTGCACATCAATATATTTTTTATTGTTTTTCTATTGAAAATACTAATTTAACATTTAATCATTTCCTAACAAAACTTAACTTTACAAATGTTTTCAGCTTATATTATACCAATTTCAATTACCTACAAAATGATGTATTAACCATTAGAATATGTTTATAATTAAGAAAACTAGCTGAAATTGTACATACACCTAAAATGAAAAAAATGTGACCTTGATTTAATTCGGCCACAGCGCGTTTTTCAATCTGGTTGTTAATCAGTTGATTAAATGGATAAATCTATTGAAAGTGGTGGGTACAATCATATTAATAAACATATTTTAACCAAAAAAAACATACAACTAAAAGTAAAAGCAGTGATGTTTTTCTCATGTTCTGTGAACTCTTCAAAGACAATGGAGGTAACTTTATATATCTTTATTTACAAAAAAGGCATTAGTATGTAGATCTTAAACCCTCCTTTGCCCCTCCTTCTCCCCTGCGTGCACCCCCCAACAGTTTTTTTTCTTGGCAGGTCTGAATATGTCATACAAATCCTAAAGATTATTCTACTAGTAATTTGCGACTACACAATTTATAATTTTTGTTAACTAGTTCATTTTGTAGAAAAAGCTGTATATTGAAAATGTCATTTGTATAAACTCAACTTATTGTGTGTAACAGAACCCATCAATTCGCTATTGTGTGCTAATTGAGCCGATCAATTAGCTATGGCTGTATGCTAATTAAACCAAAGACAGGCGAAGTCTAACTAGAAAGAAGAAAGGCATTGTTTTTGTTGTTCTCGGTAGAGTGAGATTTCCAGTGTACTGCAATGTAAGTTCTTTTCATGGACTTGAACTGTATTATAGCTACTCAAGTTTTATGCTTAAAATCAAATCTCTTTACAATTATGTTTTTTTTGTATTTATTTCTGATATATGTATTTAACTTAATTAAATACTTGACTGTAATAATTTTTTTTTAACACTAGCACATATAAAATTATTATTTAACCTCTAGTCATATACCTATAATATACAATAACATACTTCATAAATTATTTATTTATTGAATGTAAAAATAGATTTTTTTTTTCTTTATTTTAAATGTGGATTATTTCTGTAACTGAATATAGATTAAATTTTCTTTCTAAAATCATGTTGCTAGCCAGTGTTAGTTTCTTGTCCAACATTTTAATGAGTGAAACGAAACACACGGTGTCAATTTTAAAATGAAAGGTTTATTCAATATTTAGAATATCCTGTCTGGTTTAATAAGTTTAAATAGAATCCATTAAATTAAAAACATTTCCACAAACAAAATCCACTCTGCATAAGTTGTACATGAATTATTAAAAACCATTAACAATGAGTGTTAAACACACTGAGTAAATATCTTATAGCTGAAATGTGTTGTCCAGTTAATATTCACAAATATGTTGATAAACCATGGCATCATCTCACCATCACAGATGTGATGTGTTGCCAAGCTAATGAATGTGCACAAATCTATTTCACCGGTGTAGCGAAAAAGAAATGACCATCTTGACAACCCAAAAGTTTTATTCAGTATGTACGGTAACAATAAGTTCTTTATTTAAAAGTACTGATCCAGCCACTAAAGATGGTGATCAAATGGATGACTTTTATACTTCCAGCCCTTTGGATGACATCACAGCTGCTTTAAAACCACTATTCACTTCAGTGTCACTTGAAGGTACCCACATATTTCGTGGATCCTCAAATATCACCTTTATCCATCAATTTTCTTTTTCAGAATAAACCAATGGATAGAATAAAATCTGAATTTTAAAATAATAAATGTATATCAATTAGATAGTAAAATACTACCTATTCTATAATAACAAATTGTAACAAAGACTCCAAAGCCTGTTGTCCTTATCAAAAAACATCCTCACCAAAAATTATATTATAGATTTTAGTTAGCAAGAGCTATTAAATAACAAATTATTTTGTTTAAATTTCTAGCATGGCACATGCAAGGTGGTCAGCAATGTGCACTTTAGGCTGTGCATGAAGCATGTAAACAAAAATCTTGATATGTGACAGGGCTCAAGACAAGGGCTGGTAGTGCTCTAGTGGGTAATGCTCTTTATACAGTTTGACATGATTCTTCATTTCTGTCATTTGTCTCTTGATGTTATCAGGCATCTCATCATAGACATCCTCAAACAGGGACTCAGGGCGGCCACGCTTCTCACTCTCGGCTTCTGCAAATGCTTTCATCACCTGGAAGTAGAGTGCAACCAACAGCTAGTTATGATTATACGTAGGGCCATAATTATGGGTCATACAGTATTTATTCTAACATTTTTTTGCATTCATTTGGGAAAAATTATATGTTTCAAGCAAAGGTGGTGTAGAATAATTTTTGGTTGAGATTATATTAAACAGCAGAGCAAAACTACTAAAATTGTATTACACTAACTTGATTAAATTGTTTAAGGTAGACGGCCAATTATATTTCTTTTTTTTTTAAATATTTGGCTGTATGTATCTTGTATTTTTTAAAATATTAGGCTATACAGCAGCTAAAATTGTATGTCTCCAATCTTACTTTACTAGAGGCAGTAGAGAAAAAACTTGACTTGACACACAGCGTTTTACTATTGATTGGACACACACACCATTTTATGATGATTAACTTGACACATACCATTTTTTGTAGTGAGACACATACCTAGAAGGAAACTCTAAATTCAAACCCGGAGATGGCGTCCCCTACAGGCGGCAAACATCGAAACAATGAATCATTCCGACAACCCCTGCGATGCCCCGGGCGCCATCACTGAGAGCACAGTGAGCATGCTAAAACAGGATGGATACTTAGCGATATATAAGTATTCAATCAATTAATCAATACCATACACTTGAGTGAGATACACATACCATTTTCCGAGAGTCAAGCTTCCATTGCTTCTCCTTCTCCTCATCCCACCATCCCTGATTGGCCATGTAATGCCGGAATCGTGAAATTGGATTATCTGTTTTGTCCCAGTAGCTTACTTCATCCACTGACCTATATGCTGAACTGTCATCTGAAGTACTGTGGTGGCCAATTCTGTTGAACATGTAAGATTTTTTCAATGAAATGGCCCCAAAAAAAAAGACACTGTAGGCACAAACTAGCCCTATTTTGCCAAAAATTTTATTATTAAACTATAAATTTGTATAAAGAGCTGTGTGAAGGCTTATTTAGTCCAAACATCAATTACCTGTACTAATTTGTCCATAATTATTCTAACAATGTATCAACTATTAATTGGCCCATAATTGTTCTAACAATGTATCAATAACTTTCTTCTTTTATATTTTGAGGGCCCATGATCATTCTGGCTCCTATTAACTGGCCCATAATTGTTTTAACAATATATCAACCATTAATTGGCCGGTGGTTGTTTGAACAATGCAAGAACTCTTCATTTGCAGGTGGATGGAAATGTAACAGCCAATTTTAATTTAAGGTGATCAATTTTTTTTTGGTCACCTAGTTGACCTGTTATGTCACTGCTTCTCTCATGTAGTATAGTTTACCTGTATGTCATTGCTTCAATCAGAACTGGACGACTCTGGGAAATACACAACTGACGTGCCATCTTGGTGGCATTGTAAACAGCAAACACATCATTGCCATCTACACGAATACACAGCATTCCATAACCTGATGCCCTAGAGGCTGTAAACCACAAGACATTTGAAGTTAAGCATAGAAAAACTGATTTAGAGATCATTATTAATATTAATACTACACATCAAATGGAATTTATATTGCAATTAAAGCTTTTCACAATTTGTTATCAGGATATGCCAAAAAACATGGGCCGATGCTCGAGTTTATCAGAGAATAACATGAGGTCATATTTGAGTTAATCAGAGAATAACATGGGATGATGTTTGAGTTTATCAGAGAAAACTCATGGTACTCCCCTGAGACAGGAAAATGTTAATTTACAGTAAAATATAATAAATGGACAGTTGAGATCAAGGTTTTAAATTTAGTGAATTTTTATATAACACATTTAAGAAGCTATAGCATGCCTCACCTATGCCATCTCCTCTGTACTGATCTTTAGTAGGTGTTGATATTGCATACCCATTGTTTCGACTGAAGATTGCAAAACAATATTTTCAGATTGCTGTATAAAATGTTGGTGTATGTCTGATTGTGTTAATATGTAATATAATATTTTTATATCTTCTTTTGAAGCTTCAGTTTTTAACATAACATTTATTCCTTGGTGAGAAAGGGGTCAACAAACTATGGCCCACCCCAAGGGGTCAACAAACTACAGCCCACTACGAGGGGTTGACAAGCTATGGGCTACCAAAGGGGTAAAAAAACTACAGCCTATCACCTGGGGTTGACAAACCATATCCTACTGCCAGGGGTAAACAAACTACAGCCTATAACAAGGGGTTGACAGACTATGGCCTACTACCAGGGGTCAACAAACTATGGCCCACCATCATGTTCCAAATATTTGTAATTTCTAAATGAAAAGAACCTTCTTTAAAAAAAATAGTATTAATGAACCACATAAGAATCATAATGATCTACAAGAATATATTTTTACTATGATGAATTGACCTACTTACACCTACTAGGCTCTAAGATGAAAGGACTCACCAGAAAAATATGATGGGGCAACTCAGAACAGCAGCAAAGTTAAATGCTGCATGCGCATCTCCCTCTGATGCTGCTCCCTCGCCAAAGTAACAAACCACACACAAACCATTCTGTTTCCTCTTAAAAGCATATGCTGAACCTGAGGCTGGAATTAAAATTCTTTATTTTTTTTTATATTTTTATTTATACAGATAATTAGAAATATTTTTTACAATATTTTTAACTACTGACAATCTTTTAAAGTTCAGTAAATGTGTAATGCCACCACTCAGCTACTCCAACTATACTCAAAAGACTTGTGAAGTAGATTTTGTTAATAAACACCAGACGCTGAAATAATAAGTATTAGTCATATACAATCTACACACAAAAATGAGCTTACCTTGTGGCATCTGAGTTGCAAGTGTTGAAGAAATTGTGACAAAGTTTAGAGCCCTTGATCCATAGTGCACCGGCATTTGTCTCCCCTTCCCAATGTCTTTGGCATTACCATAACACTGATGCATGAACTGATGCAGGGGGAATCCTCGCCACATGAGAACACCTTTGGAAATATATCACTACATATGAGAAGACTATGGAAAAATATTTATGCACATCAGAGCACCTGTGGAAATATATCTAAACATATAAGAACACCCATGGAAATGTGTCAATACACATGAAAACACCTATGGAAATATATCAATACTGAAGGGAATTTTATACAATTCTTTTCATTTTCATTAACATGCATATGATGTTGCTCACCTGCCTCCCTGTATTGGCCAAAAATTAGGTCCTGTGGATTTAACGCAGCCGCTGACCCTATGTGAGTTCCTTCTTCTCCATAGTTTGTCATATAAAAAGAGATTCTTCCTTGGCGTTGAGAGTCGTACAGAACTCTGTCCATTGTATTCAGTAGTGTCATATCTTTGTACATCTTAAGTATTGTATTTTCATCAAGCTAAAGATACATCGAAATTATATACTGCTGTAATGAAATTGCAATAGCAAATCTGACTTTTTTTTTACATTACGTTGTGCAAATCAAATTGATAAATATAAACTTTGTATAATGCAAAACAATGCAAAAAAAAAAACTTTTTAGACTTTTAAGAGATTGAAATTGTAATTGCCATTTTAGGACTACAGGATGGCATTAGTAAAAAGCTCATAAACGAACCTTCGGATCTTGAGATGGATCAATAAAGTGTCCTTCTGGATTAAGAGTCCGATAAACTGGAATGCCCTCTGCATTATCTGGATCAATGAATTCTAATTTTGATACAAAAACAGATCTTGAGCCTGGGAAATTTGGTTTATCTGCCTCTGATGTTGAATAATATGTTTGCGGTAGCACCTAAAATTAAACAGATTGAAATAACATTGGCACTTCTTTATAACATGCATCAATTTTTAATTTAAATCTATTTCATGTCTAGTCATGGTGACTAAAATGATCTTACCTATCTTTCATTCGTAGACAAATTTATGCTAATTTCTCTCAACTTAAAATACTCATACTGTATTATAATAATTATATACACTGTTATAGAGAAGGTGAAGTAAAGGCACAAAAATCGATTTGGATAGATCAGCATTTGTCACTCAACTCAGTTTTACTCAGACAAATCAGACTAAATTCTAAACTAGACCTAGTCACTATTAAATAATATGTCACTATATGTGTGTAGTCTAGTCTGGTTAGTAGTATTTGTATGTCTACCACTTCAGTGTCAGTTAAGAAAAAAATCATGTTGTTCCGGTTAAAATTGCTATTTAAACTTTTTTTTTTTTATTGATGTCTGTTAATAGTACAATGGAGAGGGCCACTGGGTTTTGGGTGGAATAGAAATGGAGAGTGGGCACTGTTTCCTGGTTGAAAAGCCAGAACCAGATATGATCACGTTACAGAGTGCTTACTTAGAACTTAGAGAAATATATCCTTCCAGGCTCTCTTACTGTATCAGATGGAAGGGAAGCTTATACAACTGGAACAACTGGATTTTTTCTTGGCCGACGCTCAAGTGGTAGATTACCATAAATCAAATATATCATACTCATACACGTGAAGTTTAACATCTATAATAAAAAAAATTCTCTCCCACTACTCCCAAGCCAACGCCAACTCAGTGAAAAAAATCTATGTGTTTTTTTTTTTTTTTAATATTTCTTTATTTTAAAATCTTTTTATTTAATTAGAATCTAATTTATATATCATACTCATACACGTGAAGTTTAACATCTATAATAAAAAAAATTCTCTCCCACTACTCCCAAGCCGACGCCAACTCAGTGAAAAAAATCTATGTGTTTTTTTTTTTTTTTTAATATGTCTTTATTTTAAAATCTTTTGATTTAATTAGAATCTAATTCAATATACAATACCTTATTGAAGGCCACAGATGCCCGAAACTTAAATCTCAATAATTCCCCGTTTCTAAACACTCGCAGAAATGACCTATGCATCTTAATCTTTGCTGAGTAAAATTAAAATAAACAAAATATTATATCCTGAAGGTATGCTTTACAGTGACGTCCCTTTGCCACTCCAAATCTATCGTGAATACAGTCGTGCGGAACAGGTAACCCAATAACTGAATAATTTCAAATAGTAGGCCTATTCTGGAAGGTAGCCTACACGCATGAAAAATCATTCAGGCTTAACTATTCCAGCTTACACTAAAATTGTATGCAAATCGACAACCTGGTGTTTATAAAAGGCCTAATTTAAAACAACTAATAATATAAGAAGTTAATATCATAAATAAATAGCGAGCGCTATTCTTAGTACAACAGAACGTTTTAATTTAAAACCAGCAGAGGCGTCGCCTTCAGCGGTATTTACTCTCACAAGGCGTCAAGTTGGCAACATGAAAGTTTTGAGAGCAATCTGGGAAAATCAACATCCAGGGCCATATCCCTTTTGTAAGAGAGACGCGACATCTGAATGGGCATTCATTAGGAAACCGTACGCAGGGCTGCACCTTGCTGCGTCTATCTTTTAACGATGCGTAACTAAGTTGTGCATCGATGAATTCCCGACGGAACACAAACAACACGTGCCATCTCAATAAACCATTTCATATCCCAAACACGTTCATTGGAATACCCACAACCATGAATTTCTCATGGGCCGAAATTTTTCACCTTACAAAATTTCAGGAACACATAACGGTATCAAAAAATATTTCACAAAATCCTTCAAAATTAACGACATCTCACCACTTATGGCGAAAAATATCGTATGACTACAATAAGGATATGGGTAGTTTAATAAAGCTAATCGTCAACTTATTTAAATAGTATTTTGAGCATTAGGTCATTAAAGTTTATCTGTCATTCAAGCCTTGATCTTTAAACATGTCAAATTTTGGGCCAATGCAATTCATTCACATGGCTTTAACGCTTACTTCCTTCAAATGGCTTGGACGCAGACTCTAATAGGCATATATTATCCTAATGGTTAAGCTTACCGTGTTGAAAATTGTTTAATGGGTAAGATGAAACGTTCAAATTTAGAATTATGAAGAGAAAATTTATTTCATGTTATTGACAACAAATGCCTGATCTGGTAGACCAATGGAGTAGCTAGAGTTTTGACGGCCGCTGCGTTCCTTGACTTTGATGCACCTCACTCAAGAAAATCACAAAATATAATAGGCTATAAATTAAAAGAGATCTAATTATTTTGTTTGTGGGTGAGGATTGATTTGATTTTGAACGTACTTGAAATGATGTAATGTATAGACTATAGACTATAGTATAGTCGTGATGGGCTTCTCGGGTAGGCCCTATCCACGACCTTCTAGAACTGTACTCTAGTGGGTCATGTCCAATGTTCCCTTTAAGCTGTGCGGTTGCGCGGCCGCGCAGCTAACTCACAGACGCTGCGCAGGAGTTTTGAGTATCCGAGCAGCAAATTTCCATGTCAGTGTGTGTTTGTGGGCTGTAAAATTTTGCACACAAAAAATAATTGATGCTGTAAAACATTGCATACAACTGTGTGATTTTGCACACGAACCAGCAAACCTTAGAGGGAACATTGGTCATGTCCCAATCCCCAACAAAACAAGCTATAGACTATAGAGTTGTGGGGAGAAAGGAAAAGAAAGAGGGAGGTGGGGGAATAATTGCAAACTTATCACAATCTGGTTATCTGGAGGATTTTGAGAGTTAATCATAAGTTAATTTTATTAAAAGTTCATTTATTTGGCTACCCTATAAATATAGTTCGTCAGTCGAAATCGACTACACTATGACCACCTTAATCATCGCATATGATAATTGTGAACTTGGCCACTGTAACTATAACTACGCAAGTTCACATGAGCATCGGTAAAAATATGTTAAAATTTCAATCAGTGCTTAGTTGAAAGTGTTACGTTACAAAAGTAACAATGACAAATTGTTAAAAATGGTCTTTCGTTTTCTTTCGGCGTTTTCGGGAATATGACTCATAGGAAGTGACGATTTTAGCATCCCATCGACTACTTACCAGTTTCCTGCTTCCTTATAACTTATTGTTATGTGTACTGTAGATAGTTTTGGTAAATATTTTAATATTAACCATTGGTCCAATATCTGAACAATGAGTACAGCATGTTAAGTGTGAGCACATTTTTTAAAAATCAATTGATATTTACAATGAGTTATGTTTATGCCTTATTGTATTTCATTCTTAACTTGGACTTGATCTTATTATTATTTATTTATTAATTGATAATATTAATTCACAATTACTTAGTTAAGTTACTTAGAGTAGAGCCTACTTACTACTACAAATCACAAGTTGATATTCTCAAGCCAAGCAAGGCCCAGGCTACCCATAATAATATAAGAATAATTAGAATACAAGTTAAATTAATATTAGTGTCATTGGTAACTTGTACTAACTAAATAAATACTAAATACAAGTTTAGTAGGCCTTACACTTACATACAATTACAATGTAATGCCTACGCCTACTGCCTACTTAGTACTAGGACTAGGCTATTATATTTTAAGTCAAGTTGATTAATTGGTAATATGTATATCGTTTTGGTGAATTTAATTAGACTATAGACTTACTATACCTTCAAACAACGGCATCCCTCAGAATGTTGGTCCCAAATTAAAAATATGGTAATCTTGCGTATATTGTATATTATTTTTGATCGAATTTCATATTATCGCGTGTAAACTAATGTGTATTCTTTATATAAAATTTTGTCCAAACAGTATTAGTTAACGCTAACACTAAATAGTACAGCACTAACTTTTGTTATTATTGATTTTTACAGCCCCCTTTGGTACATAGCCTGTAGTGTAAACAATCTCTCCATTTTATTGTGTTTTTTAAAAATTCACCCTTCAGGCCAGATTGCAATTTTCCATTTCCCTGTTTTTTTTACAGGCCCCATAATTTAGATGTTAGCTAAAGGGCGTTTAAAGATGTTCATTTCTGAATGCCATCACGAGTGACGCCGTGTATATTGGCTAGTTTTAAGAAAAATTAAAATTATGATTTCATTACCCTTCAGTACCAGTTTTTAAATATGGATAATCAAGTGTATGTGTACTAAGTTTGATGGTAAAAGTGCAGTTCAGGTGCGTATATTATTTCTTAACGCATTTCGTATTTTAAAAATTTTTTATCATGTAAACTTACGTGTATTCTTTAATAATTAAATACAGGCAGTTATAGTTAACTAATTCTGAATTATAAGTCGCATCTTTTCTTTTTATTTTACCTCTAAAGAGTCTTTAACCATCCCCCAACCAAAGTGACACAGCCCCATTTGTTTGTATTTTTCTTTTCACCCTATGCCAGATTTTTAGCCACCTATAAGTTAGCATGCTAAACGAAATTTTCAAACTGTAAGCATGTTCACTAAAAGAATGAAATACTAGATTTTTCATTACGCACACGCCCCCCCCCCACCCCCCTTTCTTTTTTTCCTCTCAGAGCGCTCACAATATAGGGGTTGTCCTTTGAAGTCGGGTCGGGTGGGGGGGGGGGGAGGATTAGAAGTGGATCACTGAATAAGGCAGTGGACACACACGTCATCATTGTCCTGGACCTGGTGTGAAGCTGAAAAAAGAAAGGGTGGGGGGGGG